TATATATATATATATATATATATATATATATATATTTATGCATGCATGCATGCATGCATGTATGTATGCATATTGAGAGAAAAAAAGGTGTCAAAATAGAGCATTGTTTTCTTAGAGAGACATTTTAGTCTTATAATCTATAAAAATGTAAATTTAATTTCTATATTTTTTTTATTGTCAATTATAGTAATCTTTATGGGGGGATTATTTCAACCTCAATTTAAAAAGTATGATGACTAATTTGATATTTTTTTCGGATAATTATATACGTAATAGCGGAAATATTGTTATTTATAAAATCTAGCACCTAGGTAATATTTTTGAATTACATAGCTGATATATTTATGTGTGCCACAATCAATTCATTGAAAATATGATAAAAAAAGGAAAATATGGGTCGGGGTTTTATCATGAATTTTGATATTTGAGTAAAAAATTGACAAATGGAGGAAGAGTGCGCTAGATTTATAAATAACAATGTTTCAGGTGATATGTATGTAATTGTCAATAATTTTTTATTGAACCTCGACTAAAATGAACAATCACAAAACTATTTTGGCATTTTACTATGAGTCTGCGTTATACATATATATATTATATAGTGTGTGTGTGTGTGTGATACGGCGCACGGGCGTGCGGCTTATGTGCTCACTATTTTATAAATTTTATGGATATTAAAGGTTTGTTTAGGACAGCTACAACTTATCCAAATAAACAGTTTCTCCTGATAACTGTTTGGTTTGTATGTTTTAAAAACGGTTAATTTGTAGTTGTTTCTGGATAAATGATTATTCTACCCCTATGCAAGTAGCGCTGTTTGTAATAGAACTATCATATCTATATAATGGTTCGGGTTTTACCATGAATTTTGATATTTGAGTGAGAATTTGAAAAGTGGATGAAAGATGGTGGTTAATTTGGTCGATGTAGCAATGAACAAAGTATGAAACATCAAGATGAACGAGATGATGATAAAGATGAACATGGTAATTTGATCGATGCGAAGGAATGTCTCTACAATCTAGAGCCCCTCCCTCCTACTAAGAACCAAACATATAACAACGCTATGGCCACTCCATGATTAATCAAGTACCACTCTTAATATATATATATA